ACTGCTGAAGGTTCTCAATAAAATATTAGAGCTTGATTCATGTGAACTTCTCTCCAGCCCTGGGCATGGGTCTTGGAGGTCTATACTAGGTTGAGGACATTTCCGATGGATTTTAGTGGAACTCCATTTCTTTCACTGCTCCCCAACCCGAGACCACCAGAAACACACTAGCACTTGGACAAGTTGCATTCATTACTACTTGCAGCAAGCTCTTATCTGTCTTGGGGTCATCTCTCCAAATTCAGAGTGTGGACAGGTTGGGGAAGGTATGTTGTGAGGTAGAGGGAAGGGGGGAAAAGACTTTGTGAAATCTAAGTGTTTTCTACAAGTACTACTGAGCTGCTCTTTCTGGATGGAATTCTGCAGGTTTCCCAGCATATCTTGTTCAAACCACATCTAACTTGTGTTTTAAATTTAACTCTTGTATTTTTAAGTAATTATAAATTATCATGCAGTTGTAAGAGATAATAGAGAAATCTCTTGTACTCTTTCCCCAAAGGTAAGATCTTGTGAAACTATAGTACAATATCACAGACAGGACAATGACACGACTATTCCTTTAACTTTAAGGATTCCTCAAGCCACCATTTTATAGCCACATCTACCATCCTCCCAAGTTCACTGGAAATTTTGGAGAGTGTTTTTGTTTTGCTTTTTGGATACAGGTTCTTATTATGTAACCCAGCTGGCCTTGAACTTATGACCCTTCTGCTTCAGCTTCTTGAGCGTTGGGATTGCCACCATACCCGGTTCTGTTTGTTTTTCATGTAGTATACTTACCTGGAGATTAATCCAAGTTATTAAGTGTATCAACAATTCACTCTTCATTGCTGAATAGTGTCCCATGGTATGTTTAACCATTGGAGGATATCTGAATTATTTCCATTTGGGGAATATTTCACATAAAACTATCATAGTCATGCATGTACAGGTTTTCATGTGAAAAGAAGTTTTCACTTCCCTGGGATAAATGCCCAGGATATAACTACTGAATTGTATGACAATTGCATGTTTAGTTTTTAAAGAAACTGCCAGGTTGTTTCTTGAATGACTGTCTCACATCAGTAAAATGTGAGTGATCTATGTTCTCTGTATTTGGTGTTGCCATTGTTTTTTATTTTAGCCATTCTAATAGGTTGGTAGTGATATTTTATTGTGGTTTTATTTTACATTTCCCTAATGGCTAATGATGTTGAACAGTTCTTCAGGTACTTGTTTGTCATCTGCATAATTCTCTGAAGTGTTTATGGTTTTTTTTAAACCATTTTCTAATTGGATTTTTAAACTGCTGAGTTTTCAGAGTTCTTTGTCAGATATGTGGTTTGAAATATTCTCACCTATTCTTTAACTTCTCTTTTTGTTCTCTTAACAGGATTTTTTGCAGAGCAAAAGTTTTTTTTTTTTTTTTTTTTTTTTTTATCTTGCTGGATGTGGTGAGACCCTGTCTCAAAAAAAGCTTTTTTATCTTGATGAAATCCAGTTTTTCAATTTTTCCTTTTATGGGCCATGTTTTTGGTTTCAAGTCTAAGTACTCTTTACCTAATCCTAAATCACAAAGATTTCCCATTTTTCCTAAAAATTTTATAATTTATATTTTGCATTAAATCCATATTTTATTTTAGTTAATTGTTGTATAAGTTGGGAGGTTTAGTAAAGGCTCATTCTTTTGCTCATGAATATCCAGTTTCCCAGCACCTTTGAAAAGACTATCTTTCCTCTGTTGAATTGCTTTTGCACCTTCGTCAAAAATCAGTTGGGCAGATTTGTGTGAGTCTGTTTTTATGTTTTCCATTTTGTTCTTTTGGTCTACATGTCTGTCTTTCAGCCAATGCCATATCGTCTTATTATGTAGTTATAAAATAGATTGACTATTCTCACCTTAGTCTTTTTTCTCAAAATATTTTGTTTTTCAAATTCTTTTGCCTTCTGTATAAATTTTAGAATAATCTTGACCATATCTACAAAAAGAAATCATACAAGGATTTTATGGGGATTGGCATTAGTCCCTTATATCAATTGGGGAAGGACTGACATCTTTATTCTGTTGAGTCTTCCAAACCATGAATGTGGTATGTTCCTCTGTTTGTTAAAAACTTTGATTTCTTTCTTTGGCATTTAGAGTTCTCCACATACATGTCCCGCACATACTTTGTTAGATTTACACATAAATGTTTTATCTTATTTTTGAAAGAATGTAAATATACTGCATTTGTAATTTCAGTGTGTCCACATGGTCATTGCTGGTTTATTAAAACATAAGTGATTTCTGTATGTTTATCTTGTATTCTGCTAGTTTGTTGAATCCATTTATTAGTTCCAAGAGGAGTGTGTATATGTGAGTTTTGTGGATCCCTCGAGATTTTCTGTAAAGAAAATTGTGTCATCTAAAAATTGGAGTATTTTATTTCTTCCTTTCTTGATTTGTGTGACCTTTATTCCATTTTTCCTTATTTCACTGTTATAATCTACAGCACTATGTTGAATAAGAGCCATGACAGTGGACATCCATCTTTTGTGCCTGATCTTTGCTGAGAAAGGCATTCTGTCTTTCACCATTAAGTACATTGTCTGTAGGAGTATTGCATATGCTTTTTCTCAAATTGAGGAAGTTCTCCTCTATTCTTTTTTTTCTGAGAGTTTCAATCATGAACAAGTATAGAATTTTGTCATATGCTTTTCTTGTATTGATGATCAAAAGGATCAATGTGATCTTTCTTCTTTAGCCAGTCAATGTGGATTATATTGACTGTTTTTTGACTATTGAGGCAGTTTTGCATCCATGGAATAAATCTTACTTGATACAATGGCATACAATTCTTTTTATGTATTGCCAAGTTGTATTTGCTAGTATTTTCTCAAGGATATACTGTTAATATTAACCTGCAGTCTTTTGTTTTGCATTATCTTTACATGGTTTTGATTTGAAAGTAATAATAGCATCACAAAATAAATTGTGAAGTCTGCCCTCATTTTCTATTTTCTGAGAGAATATGTATAGAATTGATGTCAGTTTTTTCTTAAATAGTTGGTGGAATTTGTCAGTGAAACCACTTGGACCTGAAGATTTCTTTTTTGAAAGTATTAAATTAAGAATTCAATTTCCTTAACAATTATTGGGCTATTTAAATTATCTCTTTCATATTGGGCAAGTTAGGATAGTTTGTATTTTATAAGGAATTAGTCTATCTCATCTAAGTTGTCAAATTTATGTTTGTAGAGTTGTCCATAGTATTCCCTTATCATCCTTTTGATGCCTAAGGTATCTTTTACTAAAGATACCCTGATCTCCCCTGTTTCATTCCTGATAAGGATAATTTCTGGCTACTCTACTTTTTAGTCTTTCTAGAGGTTTGTAAATTGTATTGATATTTTGAAAGAACTAGGTCTTGGTTTCATTGATTTTTCTCTATTATTTTTTCTGTTTTCAATTTCTTGACTTCTGATCTTATCTCTATTATTTCCTCCCTTGCTTTGGTTTTATTTCATTTTTCAAAGCTTTTTGAGGTGGGAGCTTGTACTATTGATTTAAGGATTTTTTAAATGTCATAATGTATGTGTTTGGTTTTGTACAGCCCTGCTTTTGGTATGTCTCACAAATTTTGTTATGTTGTATTGTCATTTTCATTCAGTTCAACCTATTATTTAGTTTTCCTCAAAACTTCCTCTTTGGCCCACAGACTATTTAGAATTGTGTTGTTTAGTTTCCAGATCTTTAGAGACTTTTCTGCTGTTGATTTCTACTTTGCTTCTATGTTGGTTAGAGAATACACTCCATATTATTTCAATTGAGGTTTGTGTGTGTGTGTGTATGTTCCCAAGATGTGGTTTCATCTCAATGGCATGTGTTTTCCATCCTTCTACTTTACTTTCAGTTGAAAGTTCTGCTTTTTCAGGTGAGTTTTTTTGTACATGGTATATAGTCGGGGCTTTTCAAATATTCCAGTATGCCAACCTATCTTTTAATTGGTATATTTAGGTCATTCATGTTTAATATAATTTTTAATATACTCGACATTTTATTTTTTTGTTTTTTTATTTGTATTATCTGTTTTAGTTTTCTTGCCTTCATGTTGGTTACTTGAACTTTTAAAAATTTCATTTTAATTTATCTGCAGTTTTTGAGTGTATATATATTTGTATAGCTGTTTAGTTGATGCCTTATATAAACATTATTATCACAGACTATTAACATCATCATTCTACCAGTTCGAATAAGGTATAGAAACTTTACCTCCCTTTATATTCTCTTTATCTCCCCTCATGTACAGTACAGTTATCTTAAATAATTTCTCTAAATCATTTAAAACCACATCAGGCAGTATATAGTTTTTATTTCAAACATAAAATATGACTTAGACTCAAAACAAAGGAAACCCTACTGAACTTACCCATATTTTTGCTTATCATGTTCTTTCTTATTTTCTGATATTCCAGGTTTACTTCTTTTGTTGATTCCTCCCTTTTTAGGAAACTTCCTTAAGACATTCTTTTAGGATAAGTCTTCTGGTTAAAAAAAAAAAGTTTTCTATCACCTAAGAAAGTCATTATTTTTTCTTCATACCCCAGAGATATTTTTTTCCTGGTTGAAGAACTCTAGGTTGGAGAGTCTTTGCTTTGAGCACTTGAGAAATGTCATCCCACTTTCTTCTGTCCCTGATTGTTTCTGATGAGAAATATGCTGCCCAGTAGACTTAGGCTGCAGTATGATAGGAAGGAACTCCTATCAACATGAGCACAAAATCAAAAATTCCTCAAGTTGAAGGCTTCAGTTTCATCCAAATAAATTATCCATCATTCCAGATTCTATAAATTATGAAATTTCTCCTGAAATACAGAGCAATTTATAGTAAAGACTTAACCAATATTTTCAACTCATGTTTCAGAGAAAAACTAGTATTTCCCCCTTTTTCATTTAAATCTAGAAATATATTATCATGATTAAGAAGGAAAAAGGAAATATAGAGAGTAACTTTTTTGTGCTTGTTTCTTTTTTAACCCAGCATGGAGAGAAATCTTGTGTCCTTGCCTGTATCCAGCACCACATCTGAAATGGAACCAAATGGAACCTTTAGCAATAACAGGAACTGTACGATTGAAAACTTTAAGAGAGAATTTTACCCAATAGTATATCTGATAATATTTGTCTTGGGAGCCTTGGGAAATGGCTTTTCTGTATATGTTTTCCTGCAGCCTTACAAGAAATCCACATCTGTGAATGTTTTCATGCTCAACTTGGCCATTTCAGATCTCCTGTTTACAACCACTCTGCCCTTCAGAGCTCACTATTATTTCAGAGGCTCCAACTGGATATTTGGGGACCTGGCCTGCAGAATTGTGTCGTACTCCTTGTATGTCAACATGTACACCAGCATTTACTTCCTCACTGTGCTGAGTGTTGTGCGTTTCCTGGCCACTGTTCACCCATTTCGGCTCCTCCACGTCACCACCATCAGGAGTGCCTGGATCCTTTGTGGGATCATATGGATCTTTTTCATGGCTTCTTCATCAGTGCTTCTGAAGACTGGCTCTGATATTAAGGGCAACATCACATTATGTTTGGAGCTGAATCCCCAAAAACGTGATAAGCTGCTGATCATGAACCATGTTGCCTTGGTGATAGGTTTCCTGCTCCCATTCTTCACTCTCAGCATCTGTTATCTGCTTATCATCCGGGTCCTGTTAAAGGAAGAGATTCCAGAATTGAGTCTGCGTGCATCTCACAAGAAGGCACTGATCACCATCATCATTGCATTGATCATCTTCCTCTTGTGCTTCCTACCTTATCATACACTGAGGACCCTCCACCTCATCACATGGCACATGGATTCATGCGGAGATGGGCTGCATAAAGCCGTGGTCATCACATTGTCCTTGGCTGCAGCCAATTGCTGCATCAATCCTTTTCTCTATTACTTTGCTGGAGAGAATTTCAAGAATAGATTAAAGACTATATTCAGAAAAAATCATCTACAGAAGACAAAGACTAAGTGCAACTTTCCTATTTGTGGGTAGATGAAAACAGAAACAAGAGCATAGGGCATTATTAGGTGGGGCTTGTTCATGTGTCTTGGTGTCCACCTTCATTTACTTGGAGTCTCCAAATTACTTTGTATCTACATCATTCCAAACAAGTATTAATTCTCATCATTTAATTGACATGACTTTTGTTAATAAGACTTATGTCAGGAATTTCACCAGGTGCATTGTCAGTAGTTCCTAAATGAGGGATGTAGGAGGTAAAAATCTCTATTACAGTCTTGCATACTGAAACATCCAATTGGGAAAAACATGTTAAGCACAGTGAATCCTGCTTTTCATCAGAATCCGTGCCAGATATCTGGCCCATCAGGCATTCTCAGTTCTTAACTTTAAGACATCCCCAACTTCCCCAGCTTCCAGCCCCCTTTCCTATTAAATCCTTTGACATACAGCCAATTAACAAACCTTCTGGAGGACCCAGCACAGATAAGAAAAGCATCCTAAGAATTCAGGGGAGGGTTTGACTAAGAAGAGGAAGTCTTCCCTGCAACAAAGCAAGTCAAAGCCCAAACAAGGACAGTGAGAGAAAGCAGGGGGGAGAAGCATTGAGGCAAAAGACAGCTAATGATAAGTAGGGAAGGAGGAATTTCATTTTCCCTGGGAGAGGGGATGTAGCACAGTGAAAGCAAGAATGTTTTCTTTGCCTCTTTCTTTAGTAAGGATAGAAGGGGCTGGAGAAGGTGGGTGGGCCACTGCCCTAGGGGATGATAGTATTGTGTATGGAATAGGGGAGATGGAGGACCATGGACATGTAACTCAATTTTACTTTGAGACTGGGTTTGAACTGACTTCACTGTAGTCATCACTCCTGATCCTTAATCCATTGGGATGGGAGTCAGAATAAAGGAGGTGGCTGTAAGGGTTTGGGTTGGGCAATCAGGGAAATGGTGGAGGAAAGAACAAGTTGCACAGGTTGTTGTACCTCTGAAATTCTCTTAACATTTCATCAGAACATGGGTAGAAAGTATAAAAAGAGTACTGGATAGTGGGAGCGGATTCTTTCTGTCCACTGAAACAAGGCAAAGGATATACCAAGTACCACCATGGCCACTATACTTCCAACAACTGAGCACCCTCCCCATGCTGGGAAGATATGCCAGGCACTTTGCACTCATTAATCCAACATAACCCTCATACCAAAGCTCATTCCACCGAGGAAGAAATGGAAGCTCAGAGAAGTTAAGAAGTGCATTTAAGGTCACACAGCTAGTAAGAATTTAAGGGCCTCCATGCAAAAGCATTGTGAACCTCTAGGAACATTGGTTGAAAGCCTGACTAAGAGCCATGCCTCTCCCACTGTAACCACTATCCTAGGCCAGGAGCCTAGCACTGGGGTTTCCAATATGTTAGATCCATAGGTCACTCCAAGATGCTGATTATAGACATGAGTACAGGTGATGGGCAGAGAAAGGAGATTTATTAATGCACCCGGTGCGTGCCATGGGAAGAAGGCAGAAAGCATTTCAATCCATCTTTGAGGTACTGACATGAGGTTTTGGTTTAAATAGAGGAAGAATTGGGGCAGTGGAGAAGGAAGCATGAGTAATTAAGCAGTTCTAGGGAAAGTGTGGCCTGGTTAGTTATTATCTCAGTTCTGGTTCTGCCAGGGGCTCTGGAAAAGTTGTTATTGCATCATCACTTGAGGGGAGCAATCTGGTTCCCATGAGATGATTACTCTTGTTCCAGGATGCAGCTTCGTTGTCATATGAAGTAGTCTGTCCTGGTGGCTCTGCTGATCCTTGGAGGCAGTTTCAGTCCCTCATCATAAAGATGTTATTGATGAGTCCTGTTCTCGGTATCTAAGGTGCCTGCAGGAGAGAGAACAATGGAGACAAATGCAAAGTGGAAACAGGATGCCTAGCTTTTTCCTGCTCTTAGTTAACTCATAGGCCTAAGTGAGGGGTCACTGCTTTTTAGCAAAAACAGTTTCTTAGTACCTGTTATACTACCAGGTATATACCACTCCTCATCCTCACAAGAAAAGTAAGGTTTTCTCTTTGGAGCTCTTGACCCCTGGAACGGTGGGGCTGGAAGGGAGACAATGTTCTGAAGCCAGGGAGGGAATGAAGCAGTCTTCATCCTAAACGAGGACCCAAGCACCCTTCCCTATTCAGCTACCAGAATGAAGACAGACAGATGGATAGCTGTCAAGACAGGTCCCTGGAACATCTGCTTATGGGGAAACTTCCCTATTCTAGGCTGACAGATACTGATGGTACCTTGTACTTTCATCAGAAAGCTATTGGAGGATGTGCTTCTCCAAAACAAGAGACTGAATCAAGACAGCATAAAACATAGCAGCTATGAAACAAAGAATCCAACATAGAGGAAAAGAGAAGAAAATGACCAGGATATTGATGTGCAGCAAGGTTAGAAAGTGACTCATGAAAGTTGGAGCAGGAATCTCAAAGGATTCTAGGAGATATCACGAGAAAAAAAAAAAAAAAACCTCAATAAACCAACTGACTCACACATGTTGAGAGGAGTTTATATTTTGTTGGAGAGCTTGAGATGAACTAGTGGCAAACATATAGAAAATACTCAAGTAAAAAGACAATGCAGTTTTTAAATGCTAGAGAAAAAGAAACTGTTGTATAAAAGAAGGAATGTAACTATAGTACACTACATGGCTCGGCTGTGAATAATATCTACGTAGAGAATAACAGAAATACAGAAATACTGTGATACGATTTTTTCCCAGGAAATGAGGGGAGAAGATGTACAGTGTAAGAAAGAGGTGTAAGTAACCTGAGTTCCCATCAGAAAGAATGCACATTGTCTAAGTTTGGGAAATGACAAGTAGCTGTAGAAATATGTTACTTAGTAACAGGAGGTGAATATCAAAAGAAGCAGCAAAAAGAATGGACTGCTTCTGCTGGTGATGGAAGAATAGGGTGGGGACTTCTCTTTTCATTCTAAGAACTGTTTAACTGTGCAATCTGTGAACATACATAGTTGAAATAAAATTAAAGTTAAATTCAAAAATTCAAATTAATTCTGAGTTTTTAAAAAAGCCTGGACACTGACATGGCAAAGGAGAGAGAGAGAGAGACTCTTAATAACTTTTACTTTTCATTTCCCCATGACTCTTCCTTTTTCCAACCAGAAGCCTGAAGTTGGTGAAGATTGTTGTTCCTGAGAAGGTAGACAAAAACAGAAGTCTTTATCTACCAAAGTGAAGGCCAGGAGTGTCTTGGGGTTTTACTCATAGCTTTTTTTTGTTTGAGAGATTAGTTACCTCCTCAAGCAAATATACAAATTGTTTAATTGGAAGAAAGGATTTTTATTGTGCAAACTTTGGTTGAATTTGGAACTGCTCTTTTTCAATAGGGAATTAAGAAGCAAGCACTAATTTTAATAAAAATGTTAATAAATTTAAATATTGGAATTTAAATTTTATTAAATTTAAAGATTTAATAATTTAACGAATATTGAATAATCACAACTTATTCACAAGTAGAGACGATATTAAACTGGGCAAAAGTGGGTTAGAAGAAGAGATTTGGTAAAGGTGATGATTTTCTGTTTGGAAGAATTTGGAAATTGAGACCCATTCAGGGGAGAAGGGGGAGAACAGTGGGAAGCCCAAGAATATGGAGAGATGGTCACTCCAAAGATCTTCGACCCCAAAGTAGATGGAAGTAGCTGCTTAAGGAGAACAAATAAAAACCACAGTGAAAAATGCAGTGAGAAAGAAGTTGTTACAAATTGGGGAATCCTTGTAATAACCAAGACTGAAGTTCCCATTAGCCAAGTGGAATGGGTGCTTAAAGTCTGTCATAAACTAATGTTCTTAAAATTAACTATGATGATATGGAGCCATTTTTATTTGATTAGAAGGTCACATTCATTCTTTAGTCACAAGATAGTTCATATAAATAAAAATATGTACATTATAGAAGAATAAAACTGTTACCTGTTCTTACTCCCTAGCATGAGAAATAAAATATTATTAGTACTGCCACAATCATTGTCACATCACTGCTCATAGAGATCAACATTAGACTGAATTTCCTGTTAACGATCATTTTGATTTATTTATAATCTTGCCATGTAAATTATGTCCCCATGCAAAATATTAGTTAGTTTTGCATGTTTTTATACTTTCTAGAAATGGAATAATATAGTAACTTTTTCCACTCAGTTTTTTTTTTTTTTTTTGAGAATCATGATGCTGCTTGGATGACAAACAATTTAATTATCCATAATCTTGTTAATGGAGATTTAGGTTATCATCTGTATTTTACTGTTAAGAATAATGCTCTATGGATATTTCATTCATGTCTCTCAGTACACACACATAAAGTATTTTCCAGATTGTACACTTGAGGATGCGTTCATGATAAACATTTCAGGTGTTATTCAACTCTTTTCCAAATTGGTTTTGTTAGCATAGGAAGCTAGGTAGACATGAGCAAGAATGAGATACGGCCCCAGGCTATAAGATTCCATTCTATATCCCCAAATAGCTCACACCCTGGACCATCAATTAAATAAAGACCCTGTATCTTCCTTATGGAGCCCACTCCCCAGATCAAAGTCAAACTGGAAAGGGCAAAGAGGATCAAATGCACAGGCATATGACTTCCCATACTCGGGACTTCCCATACTCGGGCAGCAGCCTTGTAGTCATCAAACCATTTTAGGAGGGTCCTTGGTTTTCATACCACTTAGAAACCCCTCCACTATTGGATAAAACCCCAGGCCTCAAGAGCTTCTACAGGTTGACTTATACAACTACCCTCCTCACATCTCCAGGTATGCTTTTGCTTTGCTAATAAATCACTCCTTACTATGTTCCTACTGTGTGTGTGTGTGTGTGTGTGTGTGTGTGTGTGTGTGTGTTGTTTTCTGTACCTATCTAATATCAGGCATTGTATCCAAGAACTGAGGGACACCTGAAACACTCTAACCACCTGTAATGTTTTATCAATTTATACCCTGCCAGCAGTGTATGTGAACTCCCATAGATC